CTGCATCCAGTTTTGGTCACCACGATGTAAAAAAGATGTTGAGACTCTAGAAAGAGTATAGAGAAGAGCAACAAAGATGATTAGGGGACTGGAGGCTAAAACATATAAGGAACGGTTGCTAGAATTAGGTATGTCTAGTTTAACGAAGAGAAGGACAAGGGGGGACATGATAGCAGTATTCCAATATCTCAGGGGCTGCCATAAAGAAGAGGGAATTAAGCTATTTTCCAAAGCACCTGAAGGCAGGACAAGAAGCAACGGGTGGAAACTAATCAAGGAGAGAAGCAACCTAGAACTAAGGAGAAACTTCCTGACAGTGAGAACAATTAATCAGTGGAACAGCCTGCCTCCAGAAGCAGTAAACGCTCCAACACTGGAAGTTTTTAAGAAGAGACTTGACAGCCATTTGTCCGAAATGATGTAGGGTTTCCTGCCTGAGCAGGGGGTTGGACTAGATGACCTCCAAGGTCCCTTCCAACTTTACTACTATTACAATGCATTGCATAGCATGGCAAATATAATTCCTTACAATTTGACTTCCAAGGGTGCTTAAATGTCTATTATATGGTGAATTAGCAGATATACAAAAATTCAGATGCTTTGGCAATTGACTCATATTTATGATGGTTGCAGTGTACCCGGAGCATGTGATCACTTTTTGTAACCTTCTGACAAGCAAAGTAAACTGTGGCAAGAAAGGTCATAAAATGGAGTAAAATTCAACAAATGTCCCACTTAGCAACATAAATTGTGGGTTCAATTATAGTTGTAAGTCAGGATTAAAGATTAAAATACCAATAAAATAAAATAAAATAACTATTGGATTCCCATGTTCCCCTTTTTTGTATATCTGCTAATTCACCATATAATAGACATTTAAGCACCCTTGGAAGTCAAATTGTAAGGAATTATATTTGCCATGCTATGCAATGCATTGCATATATAGGACCCATGCTTGCTTAAAACTTTATTGTGTATATATACTGTTATATTTACACTGGTTCATTGTAGGCATTTCTAACAGAAAATTTGCAAAACAAACGTGAGCATTTGGCATTTTGTTTTCTCTGTTGAAGAAGCAGCTGTAGAAAATGGCATGCATTATAACAGTGGACAAGTATATGTCTTTGACTAGCTGCTCTATAAAGGAACGTACAAATACACGTTGAGGATTCATACAGAAAACTAAAAGAATGTAGACACTTAAATGAGCATGATGCAAGTTCATGTGCTGAATGTGCACTTTTGATATTAGGAGTCTTTGGTGCTCTCTGAGCTTGCTTGTTTTCTTGCAAACGTTTCATTACCCTAACTAGGTAACATCATCAGTGCTAATAAGGAGTGCTATTTGCTGTCAGTTTATATTCTGGTGTCTTGTCTGTCTGTGTGGGTGGGGGCGGTCTTAGGGATTCTTTGGTTGGACTGTTTACTAATGGCTCTTTGGCAGTTTCTTGACTGGGGTATTTCTTACTTGAGTGTTGGTCAGAAGTTGACCTTGGAGTTAATCAATGCTCATCTGAGTGCTGATTACTGGTGGAGAGGTACTGGAGTCTTTTTCTCTTTTGGGCTAGTTGAACATCTAGAAGCCATAGCACTTCCACAAATACAACTGAAAATATGGATCAGATATGTAGATGACACCTTCACCATAATAAAAAAGGACCAGTTAAGAACCATCAACAACATTTTTAAAGGAATGCAGTTTACTAGAGAAGAAGAAAAAAACACTACCCTTCCTGGATATCCTAATCCGCAGAGACCACAATGGCAAACTAGAAACGCATGTCTACAGAAAAACCACCCATATTATCCATGTGCTCCACTACCAAAGCAACAACCCAAGCTCCCACAACAGAAGCTGTGTAAGGACTTTATTTAAATGAGCTCAAACACACTGCAGCAAGCAAGAACAGCAGAAAAAGGAAATGGAACATCTATACAACACATTCCAACAAAATGGATACCCACACAACTTCATCAAAAAGTCCTTGATCACTCAACCCAATACAGCACAACCAACACAAACCCTAAAAAGAATTACACTGCCATACATCAAGAATATTTCAGAAACAGCATATAGATTGCTACTACCACATGGAATCAGCATAGCACACAAGCCCTTCAAAACATCCTAAGCAAACAAAAAGACCCAGAAATCCCAGAAGAATAAACAAAAGTCATCTACAACAAACAATGTACAATAAGAACTGCCACTATGTAGGACAAACAGAAGTCTGGCAGAACATATCCATAAATATCAACTGGCAGTCAAAAGGCATGAAGAAAATTCTTTAATTTCACAACATATAGACAGATATGTCTATATCTGGTAGGTGGGAGGTATCGTCACGTTTATTCATGTTGTGGGGGTGTTTCTCTATTTTGATGGCTTCCATAATTATTCTCTTGTTGTGGTGTTCAGTTTTGGAGATTAGTTTGGTTCCTTCAAAATCAATTTCATGTCCTGTAGCTTTAAGGCGCTGGAAGAGGGAGGAAGTTTTTTCTTCTTTTCTGATTGCATTCTTGTGTTCTGCGATGCGTGCATTTATTCTCCTATTAGTTTGTCCATTGTATGTGGCTGGGCAGATTTTGCATGGTATTTCATAGACTCCTTGGTTTTCTAGCTGGATCATGTCTTTGGGGTTTCTTAAGATGATGGCTATTTTTTGGTCAGTGCCGAAGGCTGTCTTGATATTATGTTTGTGGAGAATTTTGCTGATTTTATCTGTGGTGCCTTTGATGTAGGGGAGGAGGGCGATGTTGTTGTACTGTTCTATGTCTCGGTCCTTGGGGGGGGTGTTTCCCTTTGGATTAGGTTGGTAATTGCATTTCTTTGGAATCCGTTGGAGATTAATACGTTTGTGAGAGTGTGTAATTCGGTTTTCAGGTGGTCTTTGTTGGCTAGGCATTTGGTTCTGGAGATGAGGGTCTTGGCTATGGAGTTGATCTGTACAGGGTGGTGATGGGATTGTACGTTTAAGTAGCAGTTGGTGTATGTTTTTTTCCGGTAGATGGTGTGTCCTAGGGAGCCATTGGGTTTTTTGTAGATTAGGACATCCAGAAAGGGGAGTTGGTTGTTAGCTTCCATTTCCATCGTGAATTGTATTTTGGGGTGTAGGCTGTTGAGATGTGTGACTCTATAGAGAAACACCCCCACAACATAAATAAATGTGATGATACCTCCCACCTACCAGACATCTGGAAACTAGCCCTAATCAACAAATGAGTCCTAGCCACAAAAACTGAGTCCGGACCCAGAACAACAGAGTACGCCACCACCATTCACCCTCACCAGACCCAAACCCAAGCCCAAACCCATCCCTCAGATGAAATGCAACCACCATCCAGAAGCCAAACCATGATGACATCATCAGCTGCTGCACCTCCCTCCGACCCCCACACAAAGCAAATGGACACACGCCATGAACACAGAGCTAAACCGCAAACTCGGAGCCAAACCAAAGCCCGGTATGTTACATCACAGCCTTCTGCTCCGGACATCACATCACAGAACTCAGGAGGTTACAACGCTAAAGCTCAGGATGTTACAACACAGCCTACCACCCAGGAGGTTGCAACACAGAACTCAGGATATCACTACACTAGATCTCAGGATGTCACCACACAGCCCATTACCCAGGTCGTTACAACACAAAAGACTAATGGGCACACAGCCAGCACCTCAGCTACTCAGTATGTTATGAAACAGCTGAACAATCCACAAATAATAACTCCAACACAGCCAACCAACCCACCTACAGCAACTAAGCCAGCACTCCACACACTCCCACCAATATTTAGAGAGACGGCAGCTCTGATCACACTCTGCTCGCACAAGCACGGGACATGGGAAAAGACCCAAATACGCCAAGACCTGTACCTGTACCCATGAAAATCTACGAAAACACACACACACACACACACACACACACACACACATACACACACACACACATATATACCATTTATAGATACCATTCAGTGGAACAAAGTATGAGAATCTGTGGCATAAATTCTAATAAGACTCTAATCATAGGACAGCTTTGTTTTATCTATCTATCTATCTATCTATCTATCTATCTATCTATCTATCTATCTATCTATCTATCTATCATCTGTCTATCTATTAGATTTGTGTGCCAGCCATCTCATCTAGAGGTGACTTGACCATGAATTTGATACACTGAGGCACAAAGTACAAAAATTAAAGTAGGTATGCTCTAATTTATTGAAGTCCGTACTGCATATAATGCAAGTACATACTAAATGAGTTTCTTCTTGGTTGTTACAGCCACAACTGGAATTAATTATTATCTAGAGCAGTGATGGCAAACCTTTTAGAGACCCAGTGCCCAAACTGCAACCCAAAACCCAGTTATTTATTGCTGGGTGTCAGGTGGGCATGGCCACTGGGTGGGCATGGCTGCGGTGGTCATATCAGACTGGGTGGGCATGGCCGGGATTATGTGGCCACCTTGATGTTGCTTGTGGGGAGGGAGGCTTGTGGGGGCTCGGCAGGGTTGGGAGAGATCCAGGGGGGTTCTGGTAGGTGGGGCGGTGGGCAGGAGGCTCGTCCTGCAGGGTGAGGTGAGGCAGGGGGCAGGGTGGGGGTGCCATTGCCATGGGGCAAAGCAAGGTGAGGCAGGGGCTGGGGCAGCTGCTGCCTAACACCATCGGCCCCTGCACACAGAGGCCAGCAAGCGCATGTTGGCCGACAGTGTCCATCAGCAGCTACAGCCTGCCAGCCCCTTGACAAGCAAACTCTAGGGCTCTGTAGCCTGTTGCAAATACCAGGTCAGCTCTCCAGCAGAAGATGGAGTAGGGGAGGGGGAGGCACGTGATGCAGACCGCCGGACATACCTACTTCATTCCCATCTGTTTTTGCTTGTGGTTGGAGAGCAGGTCATTGCTGGTCATCTCCTTGGCCCCCTTGCAGATCTTGCCCTTGGCCTGCACATGGAGCCTGTTCCCCTCACACACCCAATGTACCTTAGCCCTGCCTTGGGCCGCCGCTACCAGCAACTTGTGCAAGTCCATTAGGCTGCCACCACCGCCTCCTGCCCAGCCCCATGCGTTGCCCAGGCACTGCTGCCCCATGAGGCTGGGCACTTGGTGCATGAACTCCACTGCCTTGTTGGGGCTTGCTGAGGCCAGCAAGAGCTGAGGCAGCTCCAGACACATGGATGCCCCTCATCTTCCTCCTCAGCTGCATGGCTGGCTGGCCTGATGATGAGGGTGCTCCCCCACAAATGGAAAGACAAGACTTGGAGACAGATGGGTTTCAACTGTTACAGAACTGGGCACTTGGGTCATCCCAGGACCCTCTGCTTGGGAGGCCCCATGGTCGCCGAGGGTGATGTGGGGAGTTGAGGAGGAGCTCCCCGGTCCCCGGCCTCACCATGTCAGGCAGCTCAAGGCTTTGAACCACTGCCCCGGAGGATGTCTCAGGTACAAGGCCCACATGGTGGTATGGAAAGAGGCCGACCCTCAGGCATGGCAATCATAATGACGCCTGCCCCAGTCTTGGCCAGGCAGCACACTGGCCGCACTTGGGATGCCCGGAGCGAAGAATGGTTGCAGTGGCACCCTGCCTTCCCCCTTCGGGACTGCAGAAGTTTCCCTCTGATTGGTCCAACACACCTGAAGGGGAGAGGGGTGGGAGCTGGGCCGGCTCTCAGTTGTGAAGATGGATGGAAAGACGGACAGGATGGGGGGGCGACATGCTCGGCCACCTGGCGGAGGCCACAAGAGGAAGAGAGGACCCTGGAGCTGCGCTGTGGGACAATCCATAGTTTCCCTGCCTGGCAGGTGGGATCACGGACTGGCCAATGACGGCAGGGAAGCTGTTGTCCCCAGCCCCTCACCTGCGTGGCCAGCTGATTGAGAGGCTCAGAGCAGCAGCCACTGAAACTCACCACTGGTCACTTGTGCTCACTTGCTGTCTGCACCAAATGCTGCTCCCGCTAAAAGCTCCTTTTGTAGCGTCTCCCTGCCCAGCTATCACAGCTTTCCCAGACTCTGCATACATGGAGAGGGGGAGGGGAGCAGCCCAGCCCGGTATCCCTCTGTCTGTGGCAATGGCACACATGCCCACAGAGACAGCTCTGTGTGCTGCCTGTGGCATGCATGCCATAGGTTTGCCACCATGGGACTAGAACAACTAGGAGAGTAAAACCTAAATATAACTGAAAAAGATAGAAAAGGACAATTGGATTCTCTCAATGAATATAAATGAACTGAATTCCCCCTTTAAAAGGAAAAATTTTTTACATGATTACAAAAATTAAAAATGGATCACAGATGTAAACAGACCCAGAAACGTAAAGACCTTGAAGATGAGATTAAATGTAAGGAAAAGATTTTAATATCAAATCCAATGGACAATAAGTTAAAAGTTTCTATTACTTTGTTGAAGGAGCAATTTAATATGTTATTAGCAGATCAAATGGCAACTAATTTGAGGTATGTGAGACATAATACATTTTGTAATGCAAATAAACCTGGTAGATGGTTGGCTTATCAACTAAGTAAGAAACAGAAATCGAGGATTATAGATAAAATAATTTATAAAGGTAAAGAAATCTACCAACAAAATTTGATTAAAAAGTTTTTTTTAGATTTTTATTCTAAATTATATGCTAGTGAAAGTATACAAACTTCAGATATAGAAAAATATTTACAGGGAGCACATTTTCCTAGACTTACAAGTGATCAATGTGATGGGATTAATGGTTTAATTACTTCTGAAGAGATTATTTTTGCAATTAAACAATTGAAGGTTGGTAAGACCCCAGGTACTGATGGGTTAACCGCGATTTATTACAAGATGTTATCTGAAAAAATGATAGAACCATTAAAGGTACTTTTTAATGATATTTTATCTGGAGCAGAATTACCTCCATTTTGGAGAACGGCCTTCATATCATTAATTCCAAAGGATGACCAGGATCTGTCCCAACCTATAAATTATAGGCCTATATCTCTTTTAAATACAGATTATAAGATTTTTGCAAAGATACTGGCAAATAGATTAATGCAGGTTTTGAAACAATTGATTCATACTGACCAATCTGGATTTATAATGGGGAGATATATGAAAAACAATGTAAGACAAATTGTTAATTTAATAGAGTATTTGGATAAGAACAACCAAATCCCTGCTGCTTTAATATTTATAGATGCTGAGAAAGCTTTTGATCAATTAGATTGGAATTTTCTATTGAAAGTTGTAGAGGAAATGAATTTTGGAGATAAATTCTTGTCTGCTCTCAAGGCCATTTATCAACAACAATCGGCACAAATTATAGTTAATGGGGGATTAACAGACATATTTAAAATAGGAAAAGGTACAAGACAGGGTTGTCCTTTATTCCCCTTGCTATTTGTAGTAACAATGGAGATTTTACTTATTAAAATTCGAGACTCATCTAGATTAAAAGGAATAAAAATAAGTAAGATTGATTATAGGCTGAGAGCTTTTGCTGATGATTTGGTTGTGACATTATCCCATCCAACAGATTCGGTCAAAGATTTGGTTGAAATTTTAGCACAGTATGGACAGGTTTCTGGTTTTAAGGTTAATAAGAATAAAACTAAAATATTATTGAAAAATATGTCTAGGAAGGGAAAAGATTTTATAGTTGAAACAACTGGTTATGAAATAGTTAATAAGGTTAAGTATTTAGGAGTTTATATTACAACATCTAATGGAAAATTGTATAAGAATAATTATGAACGCTTATGGGTTAAAGTTCAAAAAGATTTAAATGATTGGCAAAAGCTACAACTATCGTTATTGGGGAGAATTTCAGTAGTGAAGATGAATGTTCTACCAAAGTTTCTTTTTTTGTTTCAGATGATACCCATTTTAAAGAAGGATGCTAATTTGGATGAGTGGCAGAAGGGTATTAATAAATTTATTTGGGGCGGGAAGAAATCAAGGGTAAAGTTTAAGATTTTACAAGATGCTCGAGAGAGAGGTGGACTTAAAGCACCTAATTTGAAATTATATTATGATGCGGCCACTTTAACTTTAATAAGTGACTGGCTTAATTTAACAAATAGAGATATTCTTGTTCTTGAAGGGTGGGATTTATTATATGGTTGGCATGCATATTTAATTTTTGATAAGAAAGTAGAGAAGTCTTCCGGTGGTTAAGCGACTATGATGGTGGCTACCTTGTAGCCGTCCTCCTGAGATGGTGTCAGATCTGCGGAGCACAGCGTACATCAGCTGGCCCGCCGTTCGAAATCCCCTTCCCGGGCGAAGGGAAGGGGTAGAGACTGCATGAATAGAGGTAGAACCTCTTAACCTTCCCTGGATTTTTTTTTTAGGGGGGTAGAAAGAGTGCTCCCTCGGAGTTCGTGCCTTCTCCGCCTCTCAGCTGTCTTTGTTTCCTCGGAAGCAAAGTGAAACGCTGCTACCATCTCCGCACTTAAAGTTTTCTGGTGATTTTTAAAGCGGACAGAACTGTTTAAAGGATTTTACTTAGAGTTAGAGATTTATTTTTCTTAATTCTTTTTTTAGCTTATGCTGATTTTTTTTTTTTTTTCCTTCGGGCGGAAAGTGAGAGTGAAAGTAAAATGGCACTTTGAAAGTGTTTTTTTTTTCTATCTCTGGAAAGAAAAGACGGACTGAATGAAATGTATGCTTAGCATTGCTTTTTTTTCTCTTTTAAGTTTCTTTTTCTTTTTCCTTTTAAAGTGCTTTGGAAGTTCTTATTTTTATTGCACTCTTCTTGGTCTTTTTTTATTTTTAAGTATTTTCTTTTTTTTAAGAAGAAAGAAAGAGAGACTAACTTTAAAAAATGGCTTCAAAGAGACAACCAGCTTCTATAGTTTCTAAGGTGATTTCTTCTCCTGTTATTGCAACTGTTCAACAACAACTTAAAGTAACACCACCGGTGCAGCAACCTAAAGCTACATCTCCACCTTCTCCTCCCCCATCAGGCTCGTCTGCACAAGACATTAAAGATATAATGGGAAATGCTGTGTCTCAATTTAGGGAGGAAGTGAAACAACTTCTGGAACAGAGCAACTCTGAAAGTAAGGAGGAAATGAAGAAAGAAATGAAGGAGCTTTTTGTACAGAATAATACTATTTTGAGGCAAGATATAGTCTCAGCTTTATCTGGATTGGCTTTTGTGGTCGTGAAGCTGGACTCCAGAGTGGAAGAAGTCGCAGAAAAAGTAGATTTTCTTGAGTATAAATTCCAAGATATGGAAAAAAAGGTGGAAACTTCACAAGATGATATTCTTATGTTTCAGTATAGACAGATGGAATATGCCTTGAGAATTAGGGGTCTTAAAGAAGATATGAATCAAGATTTGATGGAGATGGTGATCAATGATTTAGCTGTTGTTTTGAATATAGATAAAGATGAATTACGTGGAGAAGTGGAAAAAATTTACAGAGTTAACTCTTGGATTGCGAAACAGAAGAATTTGCCAAGAGATGTGGTGATTTACTTTGCTAAGAAGTCTCTGCGCAATCAGATTTTACAAGCTTTTTATAACAAGAGATTCCAGATTGCTGCCCAAGATATCATTATCTTAAAGGAAATCCCATCCAAAATTTTAAGAAGCAGAAAAGATTTTGCTTTTTTAGCAAATGAACTCAAAACAAGATTGATGCCATTTAGATGGGAGATTCCGATGGGTATTGTTTTGAGCCATGCGGGGACACGTTATAGACTTAACACGGTTGCTAAAGCTAAAGAATTTTACAACACGGTCCTGGGAGCAGGCTCATCTTCATCCATGACTCAGAGAGTCTTGAGTGACAAAAAGGTGGAACAGCAGTCTGAAGGACTAGGTTTGATGGCTGCTGGGCAGGTGGAATGGATGCGTCAAGCAGAGGTTAAAGAACAGAGAATGACTCGTGCAGCACATAAACGTAAGGAAAAGGAACAACAGAAGAAAGAAGCTAAAGAATCTTCTCATCAGATTGTTTCGATGCCGGTGGGAGGAGCAAGACCCAAAAGCTCTGCAACACATTCTTCAGTAGCAGACCTTGAGGGAATCTTCTCCAGGCTCCTGGTTGAGGGAGATGGCAAAGTTCCTGACCTGGAATGTTAACGGTCTTAATTTTCCCCAGAAGAGAAAGAAAATCTTTCACTTTTTAAAGCAACATAATAATGACATTATTTGTTTGCAGGAAACTCATATTTTACTTAAAGACCA